TATGGTCGACCGATTGTTATCAGGCCGGCACGCAGAAGATAAAACACAATTATTAATAGTAAACACATATACTCGCAAGATGAAAACTGATTGAGCATTTGCATAGTGTGGAATGTAAAATTTCTATAATTAGCCATTTTGCATACAAGAAGCAGAATAACAATTCTACTGACCATGACAACCGTTTTCACCTAATGTGATTGAATCCGACATGAAAGTACTGGCATAGCTGTGAACACCGTTCATATTCTTCTTCAAACTGGAACAATGCAGGATGCGTTCAACGTATTGACCAGGTGTCGATCTGCGTATAGAGAGCACACCCTATTCAAGGAATCCACATCATGTGACCAGTTTATTCACCGGCTCGTTATTCACAGGCATTCAGGCTCGGCGTCAGTTGTATAAGACCAGCACGTCACACTCAGCGTCCAGGTGAGTGAGCTCCAAACTGCAGCAGTCCGAAAGATGTCTAGATGTATGAGCCGCAAACTAACGGAGTGGAGCACAAACGAAGCCGCGTTTTGGTATCTAGCTCTGTGAGCCCCAAACTGCTGCAGCCCGAAAAGATGTCAAGATGTCTAGCTGTCCGGCTTTAGTGCAGCCTTCGTGATGGTAGCCCCAACAGTAACCTCCATGTTGTGGAGCCTGGTATCCCTAGGGACGACTTGCTACTGACAAAGTCGGTCTCACCCGTGTGATTGGGGATTGCTGAAATATTAGAGAGGAACATCGCGTCAGGGGAGATTTGTTGAAGTGGGCAGTATTCTGTTTGAAGCAGCGTAAACCACACCCAACAAGACAAAGAAGATTTTGAAACCAGCAAAAGCGATACCAAGAAATAAAACGTACCTTCCTCTTTGAAAAACCATTCCAGAAAATGGACAAGCAATCCAGAAAGCATACCAACAACCACCACAATGAAGCTTCCAGTGAGAGACTCCAGATCAGCCCTGGTCGGTGGAGCTCTCTGGACAGTTCAGTTTGCCCTCATCCCACCAGCGTCTCTTGAATACCCAGCTGACGCTTCTTCTGAAGCTCCAGATGCTATATACATGTCAGCTTCATAACGCTTCATATTTACGAATATATACTACCCATCGTTTAGATTCGCTTAAACACTCACTACATGTTATGTATGTATATATGGTTACATCGAAATGAATTTCCCCACTAATTGGGGAACCAACTGCAAACCTTATAAGGTCGATGAATCGCACGAGGATCATGCATCAAATTGCTAAAGAGCATAAAATCGTGCATGTGAACAGCTGTGTTTTGCTGTAAAGGTTTGTTAAGAATTGCCACTTTCACTCGAGTTCCATCATTTATTGAACTCATTATACAATCTTTTCAACGTTACGCTGAATTTGGTTTACAATACATCAGTTCATGTGTAAACAGTACCTTTTAAACAGCATGGAATATATTTGTAAAATCTACTTTGAACAGTTGACTGAAGTAAGTGGCTGGCGACATTTACACCAGGAGTCTAAACTTTTGATAGTATATTTCACAATACAATATGTGGCATTAACATGTTCGTTTGGGTAGACGAATAATGTAATTTCTTCCTACGCCTCTGCTTTTTGCTACATGTCATCTGTGGGTCATGAATGGGGAGGTGGTTCGAATAACGATAGTCTCCACTCAACATTGTAATGTCACAAACATGCCACCATGTACGTATTTCAAATTTGAAATGTCACATATGATTGTTCTATATCGAAAACCCAATGTATGATGTGGCATTCTTGAAGACAAGATATATAATACCTACAAACAAAGTATGGGAACACTTAAAATTTGATAGTCATATGTAAACATAAACGTGGTGAGGCCATTTATACTCTGTTGCAATGAATTTTGTTTCCGTGCTAAATGGGCATTTTAAACGACATTTTAAACATGCAGAAGCAACCGATTAAATATTCGTTGAGTTGGAGGAGGAAACGCTGTCAAAAACAGCGAAAAACAAGGGTGCTGAAACACTATAACGCCATGTTTGATTCAAAACGCCGAAACACAGCCTAGTGCATGTGGAAGACAGACTGTTTCTACTTTAAAAATGCCCCTTAAAGACGCCAAAGTCATCATTCTACAATCAATAAAATTTCTGCAGCTTGTGAAAACTTGGTTTGGTAGAGTGTGAATATTATTCAGTGTAGGTCCCCACGCTGATGATATTTTCTTGGTGTACACAGACTTTTCTCTTCAGAGCAAAACGCATAGGGCCCTCACGCTGAACATGTCCCCTACCGCAGCTACAATTCACAGTTCCTGCAATGGAGAGGGTACTTCCTGATGATTGACGAATCTGGTAATGAAGGCGACGTTATCATTCAACACACTGTTGACAGCGTGGTCGGTGAAGTTGAAGAGTCCAGTGCCTTCCCATGTGCTTCCAGATATTGACGTACTTATCCCCGAGTGGGTAGTCCCATACCGCCAAGCTGGAAGGAGATGATGAGATGCCATAAACAACGTGAAGTACTAGGTAGGACAGACCTTAAAGCTGAAGCACTAGGGTAGACACAGACTCCTAAACTCTGAAGCACTAGGTAGGACAGACCTTAAACCTGAAGCACTAGGTAGACAGACCATCAACCTAAAAGCACTAGGTAGGACAGACCTTAAACCTGAAGCACTAGGTAGGACAGACCATCAACTCCAAAAGCACAACGTGTAGGATAGACCTTAAACCTGAAGCACCTGTGCAGGGACAAACCTTAAACCTGAAGCACTAGGTAGGACAACCAATCAACCTAGCACAACGTGTCGGACAGCTCCTTAAACCTGAAGCACTGCAGGTAGACAGCCCTTAAACTGAAGCACTAGGTAGGACAGAAAGCCTTAAACCTGAAGCACTGGGTAGGGCAGACCTAAAACCAGAAGCACTAGGTAGGGACAGACTCTTAAACCTGAAGCACTGGGTAGGATGGTATTCTTAAACCTGAAGCACTAGGTAGGACAGACCTTGGAAACCTGAAGCACTAGGGTAGGACAGACCTGGAAACCCGAAGCACTAGGGAAGGACAGACTCATCAACCTAAAAGCACAACGTAGGACAGACCTTTGGGAACCTGAAGCACTAGGTAGGGCAGACCTTTAAACCTGAAGCACTAGGTGGTACAGACCTTAAACCTGAAGCACTATTAGGTAGGACAGACCTTAAACCTGAAGCACTAGGGTAGACAGACCATCAACCTTAAGCACAACGTAGGATAGACCTTTAAACCTGAAGCACTAGGTAAGACAGACCTTTAAGCCTGAAGCTACCAAGGTAGGACAGACCTTAAACCTGAAGCACTAGGTAGGACAGACCTTAAACCTGAAGCACTGGGTAGGCAGACCTAAACCTGCTGAAGCACTAGGGTAGGACAGAGGATCTTAAACTCTGAAGCACTAGGTAGGGACAGACCATCAACCTAAAAGCACTAGGTAGGACAGACCTTAAACCTTGAAGCAATGTAGGTAGGACAGACCATAAACATTAAGCACTAGGTAGGACACAGACCATCAACCTAAAAAGCCTGGCAACGTAGGATAGACCTTAAACCTGAAGCACAAATGTAGGACAGACCTTAAACCTGAACCACTAGGTAGGACAGACCTTAAACCTGAAGCACAAGGTAGAGACAGACCATCCACCTAAAGCACAACGTAGGATAGACCATCAACCTGAAGCACAACGTAGAACAGACCTTAAACCTGAAGCACTTGGTAGGACAGACCATCAACCTAAAAGCACAATGTAGTACAGACCTTAAAACCTGAAGCACTAGGTAGGATAGACCTTAAACCTGAAGCAACTAGGTAGGACAGACCTTTAAACCTGAAGCACTAGGTAGGACAGACCTTAAACCTGAAGCACTTGGTAGGACAGACCATCAACCTAAAGCACAACGTAGGATAGACCTTTTAAACCTGAAGCACTAGGTGGGACAGACCTTAAACCTGAAGCACTAGGTAGGACAGACCTTAAACCTGAAGCACTAGGTAGGACAGCCCCTTAAACCTTTTCGAAGCACTAGGTAGGACAGACTTTAAACCCGAGAAGCACTAGGTAGGGACAGACCATCAACCTGAAGCACAACGTAGGACAGACCTTTAACCTGAAGCACTAGGTAGGACAGACCATCAACCTCAAGCACAACGTAGGACAGACCTTAAACCTGAAGCACTAGGTAGGACAGACCTTAAAACCTGAAGCACAAGGTAGGACAGACCTTAAACCTGAAGCACTAGGTAGGACAGACCTTAAAACCTGAAGCACTGGGTAGGGCAGACCTTAAACCTGAAGCACTAGGTAGGACAGACCTTAAACCCAGAAGCACTCTCTGGTAGGACAGACCATCAACCTAAAGCACTAGGTAGGACAGACCTTAAACCTGAAGCACCAGGTAGGCAGACCTTAACTCCTAAGCACTAGGTAGGACAGACCATCAACCTAAAGCACAACGTAGGATAGACCTTAAACCTGAAGCACAACGTAGGACAGACCTTAAACCTGAAGCACTAGGTAGGACAGACCTTAAACCTGAATCACTAGGTAGGACAGACCATCCACCTAAAGCACAACGTATGATAGACCTTAAACCTGAAGCACTAGGTAGGACAGACCTTAAACCTGAAGCACTAGGTAGGACAGACCTTAAACCTGAAGCACTAGGTAGGACAGACCTTAAACCTGAAGCACTGGGTAGGGCAGACCTTAAACCTGAAGCACTAGCTAGGTAGGACAGACCATCAACCTAAAGCACAACGTAGGATAGACCTTAAACCTGAAGCACTAGGTAGGACAGACCTTAAACCTGAAGCACTAGGTAGGACAGACCTTAAACCTGAAGCACTAGGTAGGACAGACCTTAAACCTGAAGCACTGGGTAGGGCAGACCTTAAACCTGAAGCACTAGCTAGGTAGGACAGACCATCAACCTAAAGCACAACGTAGGATAGACCTTAAACCTGAAGCACTAGGTAGGACAGACCTTAAACCTGAAGCACTAGGTAGGACAGACCTTAAACCTGAAGCACTAGGTAGGACAGACCTTAAATCTGAAGCACTAGGTAGGACAGACCTTAAACCCGAAGCACTAGGGTAGGACAGACCTTAAACCTGAAGCACTAGGTAAGACAGATCTTAAACCTGAAGCACTAGGTAGGACAGCCCTTAAACCTGAAGCACTAGGGTAGGGACAGACCTTAAACCTGAAGCACTAGGTAGGACAGACCTTAAAACCTGAAGCACTAGGTAGGACAGACCTTAAACCCGAAGCACTAGGTAGGGCAGACCTTAAACCTGAAGCACTAGGTAGGACAGACCATCAACCTAAAGCACAACGTGGGATCAGACCTTAAACCTGAAGCACTAGGTAGGGCAGGCTATCAACGTACAGTACTAGACCATGCATACCAGTGACGTCTGGACAGGACAGACCAGAAACGTGGCGTACTGGATACGGCAGAATATCAACGTAATTTCTATTAGATAGGACATAGAACAGGTATCGTACTAGGGTCGTAGGTCCGACCTACACCCTGAAGACCTATATAGGACAGGCCGTCACAGTGACGAACTAGAGGGGGGTCACCAACGAGATGAAAAAAGATGAGTTTGTACTGTGGCAGCCTTTTCAGAGTAACTCTTGCGAAACCAATGGTTCAAAGAGTGTTACGTAATAACCGTGTGGAATCAGAGACACAAGTGCCCATTAAACCCGATGCTTATCCTATAAGGCTATTCGTGTTTTCTGAAACTGATAAGAACATGTAATAAACAAGTTGAACCCAAAAAGTATCAGTAGGATAACACGGAATGTGAGCTGGCGATTGAATTTACCTCCCGATATGGTTTAGGGGCAAAGCAAAGTTAAATACGTTCACTCTAAACAATTGGTCAATTCTTATCTTACTATTTGTGTTACAATCGGTGGGTGGTCGAGACTGGTTATTCTCTGATGTTGGTGTTCACATATTCACCTGTTGTTCCCACCGCCCATGCTCATGTCCTTCCAGATGGTGTAGAAGCTCTCCTCAATGGCAGCCATTCTCTTTAAAGTAGGTCATCACTGAGGAATCGGCGACCACGGAGTACCTGATGTCGGATCAGTGAGGCTAGCTCCGTCATGGAGCTGATGGCGACGTCCCATGCGGGACACGGTGAGGAAAGCGGCCAGGTTGGCGGTGAACGTGGACATCATGATGATAGAGAAGAACCAGAATCCAGCGACCAGGAGGCGTGCGGAAAAGCTTTTAGGAGGAACACCTGCCCCTGGAGCGGAAGGGAAAAACAATCAGATATACTTCAGGACACCCAATTAACATTCCTTTTAATATCAAAAACCTTGTTCTCCCACCAGCCCTAGTGTTTATAACGTTGCTCGTATCTTGAAACCAGCCACCCAGCCTAGACATAAACCTGGATAGAAAAGTCCAAGTATTTCTGAAGGGTTCGCTGTAAGTGGTGCTTCAGGTACGTAACTTCCGGTTCCAGGGACCGTTGTGGTATCGGTATTAGAGATGTGTTCCAGGTACATTTCCGTGTATTGAAATGTACCTCACTAAATTTAGAATACAAGTGCATCATATTTGATCAAAGAATGATTCGCACAACACAGGCAAAGCCGAAAGAAAGACGTTTCGTTATTATGTATAAGGGACTCGCCCAGGATCAACAGTTTTGTACTGAGATCCTGTTCAGGTCGATTTCAATGCAAAAACAGGTACCCGCTGTACATCCGTAATACCTGATGGCCACGACCCCTTCAGCCCCATCAGAGATAACTAGCAGGAAGTGAGGGTCACAGTGTGTGAACTGACTGATTATGTGTTATCATACCTCGACAGAATCAACTGGCTTTACAGAGTTGCATCCCTTTGGTTGAGACGTTCGTGCACTATAAAACCGGTTTGTACTGAATGGTTTCTGAGTGGCTTCACCAACGTGGTAAGACTACCTTAGACTTCCCCTCAAATCAAGCTGCCCTATGTTCACATCGGCGTTAAGACAAATCCACAGGGATACATTCGCAGAAACAAATGGGACAGGACCTTCAAGTATCCCACAGCTAACTAACCGGACATGGTGAGGGATCCCATCACGAACCAGATGCTCTCCTTCAAATCGAAAGCCTTTTTGTCGACCACCTCTCCTTCCACAGTCGAGTCCTTCGCCCTAGTGGGCGTGTAGCGGTCAAACAACAGTAGAATGATGCTGGTCACTGCGATGACCACGCCCAGACACAGCCAGGCCAGAGGAGTGAAGACGTCGGCGAAGTAGAACAAACTGATTTGCCGATTTTGTTTCTTCATGACGATCTGTATACCTGCGAAGTCGTAGTAGGAGGGTGAAGTCCACCACGTCTTCTGTCTGCCGTCACTGTCAGAGCGCCTGCTATGATGTCAGAGTCCTAGGGAGATATTTTACCAGTGGAATGTATGCTTGTTTGTTTTATTCTTTCACGTCGCAATACTCTCTGTAAACTACCAGCGTCAATTTAAAATCACTGAACAGAGGGAATGATTGCAGTAACGATAATGTCATGAGGGTATCCAATAGGCTATGAAGAATTAATCAGTACATCTATTTCATTTCGAAATTATCAAAGAATTGCATATGTCTGCTTTTCTTCATTCATTACGAAAGCTGGACATAGAACAATATGGAAGCAAAGTAAGTGAGATCATTTAAAAATTAAATTGAAAAAAGATGGTGGGGAAGTATCTTTTGGTAGACAGTGTTTTTGTCGTTATTACGTATTAAATGTAATGATCAAACAGCCTAGCCCCGTATTATAACATTTAATGTAGTAACATTTAGGAAATGTGTTGCTGATAACTTTAATCATCTCAGATCTGGTTTTGGTGGAGGTGGAACACCTTTGCTTTCACATGATGTCATATTATTTTTATCAATGTCGGTAATATATCAGTAGTAACATTTCATAACCATTGCTTCAATGTTATAGTTCTTCATGTTCTTCTCAATCTGTTTCTCACTGACGATTGTAATGTTGACGGAGGACTACAACCATACCCCTTCAACGATGTTCCTGATGCAGCCGGTCCATATGCTGTTTGAGTCCATGTTACCATAGTGACCGTCATAGCATTCTTTCACGGTGTAGGTAAAGCCGATTATTTTGGAAATGGCATCAAGCACATCAATGCTGTAGCCAGAATAGTCTCCCGTTGAGTTGCGGATTACAAACGGAGGTTCCTTAAAATATGAATTATCATATATTAAAATAAATGTATTTAGATACTTTCTTTCATAAGACCGTAGCGTACAACATTCACTATATTGTTTTCACTCATTTTGAAGTAGAGACGGGTATATATGAAGTTTAGATTTTTCACTTATATTAACTTATTGTGTGGCAGGTCACGTTGCGACCATAATATGTGGTGGTGGAGCACAGGCCCTCGTGTTTTTGCTAGGATTAAATAGTAGTGGTGGGAATTGGTTAAAATCTCATAATTGATGATTGGTTCATTACAACCGATCAATCATCGAAAATAATTGGTTAGCGTCATTTATGAAATGTGTTAATGCACACAAAAATAAGGAAAAAAACATGTAGTTCTTTGGGGTTTTTTGGGCAAAATTTCACATCTTTAAAGGGTGACTAGTAGGGAGGAACATAAATTCTTCAAGATAAATTCAATCATGACTTGGAACGAGCTTGTAGTGCTTATGAAATGTAACAGACAAAACCAACCTAGTGAAAATACTGTTAATGAAAACAAGTGTTCCAGAATTGTTTGTGTTCGATTATGAGAAAACATGATCGATTGCTTGGTCGTTTAGTCACTGCGACCAATCTTCGATTATTTCAATTAATCGGACCACCACTACTTCACAGTACAATACATAATGACAAGGCCGGACACTTCGGTGCACCCTACCCGCCTGCTTTGCCGATCGCTATGCCACCATCGCATGCAATCGTTTAAAACGTAATGTAAACATATTCATGGATGATTGGCCTATCGAGCCCCACTCATGACACCTATCAATTCTTTATTGTTATTTCTGCAAGTCGATTGAAACCCGATTTTGACTCTCAACGAAACGATCTTGACACAAATGGATGACGATGTGTCCGCACAAACGGGGGTGTGGTCTCAAAGCAAGCCCTCTGGTTGGTTGATTCTTGTTCAGGAGACATTTACAACTTATGCATTCTTTTGAGAAGCCATTGCTCGAAATATATTCTTACATTAAGCAGTCGATGAAAGAAAGAAATCCCGCGAATTTATAAAGAATTGCAGATTTGCAAGGTTTGACCAATCAGAGGGCTTGCTTCGACCACATCCCGTTTTGTGCGGACATATCGTCATCCATTTGTGTCAAGATCGTTTAGTTGAGAGTCAAAATCGGGTTTCAATCGACTTGCAGAAATAACAATAAAGAATTGTCAAAATCGGGTTTCAATCGATTGGTAGGTTTCATCATAGGTGATCGATAGGCCAATCATCCATGATTATGTTCACATTAAGTTTTAATCGATTACATGCGATGGTAGCGTAGCGATCGGCAAAGCAAGCGGGTGGGGTATACCGAAGTGTCCGGCCTTGTGATAAGGTGTTGTACTGTGTAGCATTTCGAGTCGGGGGTCATCTCAAAACACTAAAAAAAAATAATAATCTTGAATCTTCGCAAAGACACGAGGGCCTGTGTGGTGGAGGGGGTTACCGAGGGATGATCTTCCCTCAGTATTCTTATCCAGGAACGTCGGTGTGTTAGTCACGGGAACTCTTAAACCGATACACTACCCTATATCATTGGGTGCATGAGGTCATGTGCGACAGGTGAGAGCAGGGTAGTGACAGAACATTTTCGAGACGTTTGTACCGTACCACAACAGCCGCTACCCTGAGGACCACGCCCTTGACACCATTGACAAACAGCTGTTCTGTCGACTCCACCCCACCGCTTTGACTCCACGTGGCCACCTGTGCACAGAGGAGACACGTCAATGTGACCACATGTACAAGTATATCAGATCATACGATATCAAAACATGGTGAAACCAACGTACATCAAACTTAAATATTAGAGACTTATTTCATCTGTTCTTCAGGTGAAAAGCCCATTTCTGGTGGCCCCCCGCCTTGATGTTGCTGGAATATTGCTAAAAGCGGCGTAAAAACAAACTCAGTCAGTCTTCAGGTGAACTATCCTTCGTCAAATTATGTCTGTCAACAAGGCCTGCATCAGCTTATTGTTGGCCCTCGGTAGATCTCTGACCACGAAAGTGTTGATGTTTAATGAAACGTGAACACAAGTTTAGTCAATGGTGGTGCTCGCATCTTCATTCTCAAAAACTGCTGAAAACTGAACATAGTCCTGATGGATGGCAGCAAGTGTACCTTGACGTTTCACGTTGATAGACTCGGTAAAGAATCAACAATATACATTATGACTTTGCTGTTTTAAACGGAGTGGTCATTCTTTTCTTCAGGATCTGGTTACTGAGAAACCCTCTCTGTCGTAATTATGGATCCAGACCTAATCAATAATAACCTGAAATATAAATCCTTAGCGTTCTTGTTATACCTGGTCATCGCGACATTAGGGGGCGGTGATCCGCCAAGCCTTCATGTCATACAATAGCACTTTAGGAACCTGCTGGGCGCACAAACCTTTCACGTGTGTGGTTATTCATGAAATATTCTTTGGATTGAAGCACGTCCTTTCAAAAATCGACTCACAAACATATATTAATGATAACATGTTTAACACGATAGTTTTCCAAAAAACCTATATATGCCGGATTCATAAGGTTCAGGTTCCCACTTGTATATTCCAGTGTAACTGTATACAAAGATGACAGAATGCTTACGGTCCTATGATATCTACATGTCGTCGTCAGGTATACCTACAATATATTATCTACTTTCTGACATAGTATACTCTTTCATGGCACCGCTATATTGACCAAAGGGTCATTGGGATTGTTTTGTCTCATCCTTGTGGACATGTCTCGTGTTTGTAGAATGTAATTAAAGAAAATCGGTTTTATTGACCTGAGAGAGGCTTCTTGTGTCGTTGCCGGTGTATTTACACAGTGTAAACTTCACTTCACTGCTAGTGGCATCTTCTTGTCCAAATACCCGAGTGTCATTCTCGATAACCTAGAAAACATGCAAAGTAAGTTCTATTTCAGCCATTTGTATTTATGTGTTTATTGATGGTCATGAAATGTCTGATAAGAATTAACGGTGTTAACTTGTATATCTAATTATGGATGATATTTTGTTATGACTTGAGGTTTTCACCTTGTTCAGCGACCTGTCGAAGAGAGATTTGCAGGAATTACATGATGAGGAGCAGGCACACACTGGGTCCGACGTCGCAGCTATGACGTCATGCATCTCCTGAATGACGTCAGCCGTGAAACCAATGAGCCGCTCTTCGTTGTCCATGGTTGCCTGTAATGCAGAGCTCAGTAAACACGCAGATAAACATGTGACACGTCTGTCGAACTGGAACGCAACAAATTCCAGACAAACGCAACAGAAGTATTCACTGGGAAGCTGTGGTGCGTGACGTGATCTCATTATCAGATCCGTATACTGTAGTTAATACGGTGTATGAAACTGAACCAAAGTTTCAGTTTAATTCATGATTAATACAACTGAAGTATTCCCAGCTCAGCTAGATTTGTTTGCCAAACGGTCCAACCCAAGTGTCTATTTATTGTCTTCCTCCTGAAGCAAGGGCGATAGGTTTTCACCATTATCGAACCAGGCTGGAATAATGGAAGTCTACTTTGGCTAGACTAACGTGGAGATGCATAATGTAATCAAAATCGCGCAATGACATCGACATCCGGTTCGTCAATAACATGGCGGCCCTCATGGAGATTTCGGTCGATTGCAGACTTTGCAGAGCTTGTGTACTGTCAGCTGGGTGTAGGCAGATATTTTCCAAATCTTTTCAGGCTTTTATTCATGGTGCTCAAATGATCTGACGCACTTGATAAGATAAGGCCTGTTTTATTGTGATAACGTTCTTGATTATCTATGAGATCGTCTTGATTGGCCTCCGCCATGGTATTGTCTAAGTGCATGTGATATTAAACGTGGGCTCTGACTGGTCAGTTGGAAGCACGTAGAAGGGACAGCATTCAGCATAGCTACCGCGTGTGGTGGCGCTACCATCGAACCATACAATTCAGCTTGGCAGGGATGGAGACTGCACTATTACAGTCAGTTAACTCCCTTGGAGGATGGTTAAATATATTATTAAGTACACAACAGTTGGCCAAAGACATGCTTTTTTGTACTTTACCCTTTCGTTGCTAGTATCATAGTTCTAAAATACGTCATACTTTCCTCTTACTTAAATAAATAATTGTGACTTTATAAAATAGGACTAAACAGCACATTTTGTATATTTTATTCAATAACGAGAATACTAAACGCTGTCTCAGTTATTGTTGATCTTCATTTTTCCAAGTTGTAAGATAATTAGCATTATGTGTTAAAAGCTTTAAGACTACATGCATGGTCCGGCCCAAGTCTATAATCTGTCAGTATCGATATACGCTCGTCTTCATTCCCAAGTTTTCTTGATAAGCCTTATGTGCTAACTGTTAAGACGACATGTCCGGAGAGAGAAGTAAACATTACTCTATGATAACACGCTCTCCGAGAAAACTGTTAGATAAATTTGGTCATTTCTGCACTCTCACGTCTTTCAAAGCTACGAGGTAATCTTAAGATTTAGATAGTCAGCAGTGAAGATTAGCAGCATTTGTAAGTATTGTTTAAAGAAGTGACCATTGAACGTGCGACCATATCACGAACTCTGAGAGCATCGGTGGTATATATAACGGCCTTTATTCGGGGTATTTCACTCATGAAATGCTCCGAATAAAGACTGGCCACTAATCGATGCTTCTCTTGGTTATTTGAAGGTAAGCCATGTTCAGTTCATTCATTGTATGTTCTTAAATTATGTTCATATTTCTCTGTTTTCTATTACGTTCCATACTGTTAGTTTAGGCCAATATCATCATTTATCTAGGCAGTATTGAAAAAGTACAACAAGGAATATCTGTATCATAGTTGTGTCAGACCATGTAGAACAAATCTAACAATCTTACATCAAAATAGTTTACAGTATCATGTAGTAACGTTAAGACATAATATAGGTTCAGTATATCACAATTACATATGATCGGGCTCGTGGAAGCAAAGCAATTCTTGCGCACGTGTTGTATATTTGATTGCGTGTTTGCAATGAAAGTGAATGTCAGTGAATGTATTTCTAAATGATTATCATATGTCTTTAACTCAAATGTTCCATGCTACCTTTCATCAACCAATGTTTAAACAATGTACATATTAGGTGAAGTTACAATATGGTACACGCAAAACTACTGAGCGCACATAAACATTGTTGTTTCATTCTGTTGCTCACATATTGCTACGTTCTCAGTACTGTAAAGCTTCAAGTATGTATATGTATACTTATTCAATAACATGCCGTTCGGCATATGATCTTTAGTAATTCACAACAGTCTGGATATTCAGATGTGGTCATATGATTCAGCTAGCAGGCTGAACATTTATATTATTTGTGTATTTTTATTATTCTGCTTAGTTTGTATTCTGTTTGGATGTAGCAAACTATATAACGCCTATTATTTGCGACTTCCATGGAAGATTATTTTAGCAATTGATAGCACATGTACTAAGTGTCTTACTGAACAGTTACCTCATCATTCTCTACGCATATTTCTCAGCTGCGCTACATCATGTGTATTATGCTTCCAATATAATATGAAGTGTCCTCACTTCCGTTTAATCTTGGTCATTGTTTATTGTAAGGTATATTGTCAGTAAGGTTTATGCAATCATTAATTCACATGATTTTCATATTAGGTATTAATTGTCCAAGTTTGAAATGCTGATGTTTTATATAATTGACTCATGAAATGCTCCGAATAAAGACTGGCCACTAATCGATGCTTCTCTTGGTTATTTGAAGGTGTTGCGGTCCCAAGCTAATTCCCCGACAACAAATTCTAGGTATTATAATTATCCTAGACCAAATATAAACCCTAAAAAGGTTACTATAAGGTCAAAGTTATTATAAATGGTGGAGAATCCGGGTAATCCTAGATGACCGGCGCAACACCCAGTAACTACAGACAGAAGCTGAGAGGCCAAGAGCCAAGGTCCTTGCTGACCAGCCTGCTCAGTCCCGTTTCGGTTTCACAATCATCACCTATCCTCGTGTCTCCATCTGTCATCCCAACGACCGCAGCAACTTCGACGACACCTGCTGCTACGTCGGCACCATCAACAAGAGCAACAATAACTCCGCCTGTCAACACAATTATGGCAAGTATGCCACATGTGAAACTCGAGGGGTTCTCTGGAACTGCAAATGGCCAGAATTGGTGGCAGGACTTTCTAAACTTTTCAAACTTTTACTCCTTCAATGATGAACGGAAATGCCAACTGTTACCATTTTATCTTGAAGGAGAAGCTAAACTCTGGTATCGTGAGCTACCTGACGGAGATCGAAATAATCTCCCTCGAATAAAGGCGTCATTTGACCAACGCTTCTCCTCCCAAACTTCGTTTGACGTGAGTGTGCTGCAGATGGCCCAAGCTACTAACGAGACTGTCAGTAGCTACGTTACCAAAGTTCAAGCTGCCACGACACACCTCAGCCTCCCTACCTCCGTTGTTGTGGCAATAGCAGTAAATGGGCTTCGTTCGGAAATACGACAGATTGTCTACAACAAAGAACCTACCACCTTACAGGAAGTAAGGCATCAGGCAACATTGGCTGAAAAATCCTTTACAGCTAATTCAGGTGATGTCAATATTGCAGCGAAGGTGGACCAGCTCGCGAATTTGGTTGCCACCTTGATAACCAAGGCAACGCCCGCACCTCTGCAGGCTGACGCAGTCGCAGCAGCTACTGGACAGCAAGATGTCCACAGCCACAGACCTCCAGTGCAGAGACGAACACAGCCTCCACAACAACAGCTGCAGCAACTGCTGCCTCCCAACCAGCCTCCACCGCCGATGACTGCTCATCCAATGAACATGCCCAGGCAGCTGCCTCGACCTGCATTCCAGAGCCAACAGTACCCACACCCTCAGACACAGTATCCACGGCGACCACGACTACCAGTGCCACCTCACCTCCAACAGAAATGTCATGGCTGTGGTATGTATTGCTCAAATCGTTATGCATGCCCACACTTCAACACAGTCTGTACATACTGCAATAAGTTAGGACACCATTTTAGCGTTTGTCTCAGTGCTTATTATTCACAGAATAAGACCTCTACACAATAGGGACTCGCGCCTGATTCTCAGATTTCTGAGGTCAGGCATGAGAAATCAGTGGTCTCACTTGTGGCTCCCTTGGTCAAGAACACTGTTCTGATAAAGGTGAAGCAAGTGAAGACCCCAGCTCTTGTTGACACAGGTGCATCCATCAGCTGTGTCAGCATGCGCTTCCTACACAAGGCAGGATACACAAGGGAACAGTTATCTAAGTCCCATCTTAGTCAAATAACAGGAGTAGGAGGTGAACTTCACTCAGTATTAGGCTCCATTTCCCTTGAAATTAACGTTGGCAATGTTCTTCTGTCTCAAACGTTTCATGTTCTCTCCTCTCTTCATCACTCTCTCATCCTCGGCATGGACTTTTTAGAGGCTAACAAAGCAGTAGTCTGTCTCTCTACTAAATGTCTTTACATTCATGAAGGTCTAATAACTGTTGCTTTGGTTGAATCAAGTGCAGGTTTTGCTAGGTGTAAGCATCAAGTGGTTGTTCCCGCCCAACACCAGGTAGATGTTCCTGTTCTTATCTCTAGAAACAAAAGAGATGCTATCCTTTTACTTGAACCTGTCCCTGAACTGTCCAAAACAAAACTTCAAGGTGCTAGGTGTCTTGTAAGGAACTCCAAAAAGGGTGTGTACATGAGACTGCTGAATCCAACAGATAAAGATGTCCACTTAAACACTAAAAGAATCCTTGCAACCACTTCAGAAATTGACAGTTCCTCTGTATCAGTTCTGTCAGACACGCTTCGACACAGACACTAGGTCCTCTACATCCACCATGTCAAAACAATTCAATGCATGCTCCAGTCATTCATCCAACACACACTTGGGTCATTTATCCAACTCCCCACCAAGGTCACTTAGTCACACAAGACTCAGGTTGTACATCCAACATGTCGCCACAGGTCAATGTATACTCTAGTCATTCATCCCACATACCCTCAGATCATACATTCAACTCACACTCAGGTCGCTCATTCAATCACAAATCAAGTAGTGTATCCAACATGTCACATCAGTTCAGTGCTTCTTCATCATATCACCCTAAAGTCATCTCATCACTTACCTCACGGTTAGATCATTCCAGTCGCATATCTTCTCAACCCCACCCT